TTATATCACGCCTAATTATTATTACGTTTCGTTAATATACTGTAGCCGCTACAATATTTCTATTAGAAGAACAACTAAATTTAATAAATTTAAATAATATTTTAAAGAACGAAAAAGAAATCAAGGTCTTTTCCCAACAATATCAAATTTTAATTTAAAATCAACAGTAATTATAAAATTTTCTCAAAGATGATCCTATAAAATCTTGTAGCGTTGTTTATGCTCATTGAATTGCTTTTGTCAAAAAAATTTTTTATAATATCGCCGAAATTATCATTGTACTTAAAAATAGAACCTAATACTTATTCCTCGCGTTCCATTTAAGGTCATAAATAACAATCTTAAAGTACAAAACTATAGGTGTATAACACATAACACATACACATATTTAGAATAGAGATAATTGGGGAATTTAATTAAGTACGTTCAACATTAAGCACATTTCATATAATAAAAACTCATGTTCTTTAGAAAATGCAGAAAAATATTCAATTACAATTTTTGTGATTGCCACCTTTTAAATAATATGGGAACAATAGGAATATAGTATAACAATAAAAATTCGTGTTACTAAAAAAATCATTTTTGATGATATCAAAAATTTTGATATTCCCACAATGTAATGGGACCATATTTGATAATTTTGTAATCATGTACAATTTAGATTAATGAGAACAACATAAATTTTACATTTTGATGGTCTTGTGTAAATGATTTTGGAATTTATTTATAAAAAAACGTTATAGGGCTTAACAAAATATTTCGAAACTTACGATACAACTCATGTTTTTATGTTAACCTTTTATTCAAATACTTAAAGAATGAGAAGTGTAATGAAGATGAATTAGTATTAAATTTCAACACAATGAGATTAAGCTTTTATCTGTTGCAATTTTGGAATTGTCTATTTTAACAATACAAGAGATTCATCGAATTAAATATTAAGTTAAACTTCAAATTGAATAATATTAATAAAATCTCTGATATTTTCGACTTATACAAATATTTTTTTCATAAATTTTTTTATTTTACATGTGCAATATTGAATATGAGACCGACTTCATCTGAATTTTATAACAATCATATACAAATAATTATATTCGAATAGGCACTATTGGTTAATAAGAAAAATTTGAGTCCCTTTTAATATTTACAGAAAAAACTGAAATATTTGTAGCCAATAAAAAAAAAATTTCAACAAGGGTTTGAAAAAAGAATTTTTCCAAAGTTGTTCAGTCACATTAACTGTGAAGTAGCAAACAAGATTTTGTTTTAGAGTGATTAGGTGACCACAAAGGAAAGAGAAAAGAAAAATAAAAGGATTTTGAAAGAATTAGGGAAAATTATTGAAAAATTTTAAGAATAGCTTTCTTTCTTTTCTTGTTATTTCTCTTTTCAGAACTTTAAAAAATTAAAAATTGGAACAAAATGCTTATTAATTTCAATCTGTCACAATTTGCTCATTTTTATGTTTGACCTTCTTTTATACTCTTATTATGATCGGCGAAGCGAATCGCTTCGCGAGTCAAATAGACCAGGCGAATCTAATGAATTTTAAAATAATGATCGGCGAATGCTTTTATTCGCCAGATCCAAAATGTTGCTACCACAAGACATCAGAAAGCCTACAGAAAATAATAAGGTTAATACCACATTTGCTTTTTTGCAAAAACAATTGAATTTTTCTATCTTTAGCAATTACGTGGCATTAATTTAATTAAGTTTGTTACACAGAATTTTCATTCGATAGATTTGACAGCTTATTCGGCAAATATTTAGGCAAATTCGCTAATCATAATACCAAAAATTCATATTCGACAAAAATTTCAATCGCTTCGCCGATCATAACAAGGGTCTTAATGTGTTTACAAACCCTTAACAATTTGTAAATCCAGCTAAAGTCAATATAGGTAATTCTCTTTCAAAGAAAATCTTATATGCAAATTTATGTACGCTAAATTGACCCTTCAAGAAAAGTGACTACCTTGACTAATCATTTGCAAATATCATTAAAAATATTGTATTTTACAAGAGCATGAACTTATTTTTGGCTACCTCTTGCTCTTACAATTTTAAAATAACAATTTGCTATCACCCATTTTGTATGTTAACAGCGTCATCAAACTGCTACAAAGAATATAATTTACCAGAAATAGTATTCGTTAGCTTACTATGCAATTACTTTAAATCGTCCCCAAAAAATATGCAAAATTGTATTGTAATAAAAGAATCCAATAACATATTGTATGTATAAAAATATACAAACAAAGTACAAACAAAGGTCCTACTAAAAAGTAGGACCTTTGTTTGTACTATTTAAATCTAAAACAATATAAATAGAATCTCTAGATTTAGCCCAAACCAATTTATTTTAGGTAATTATTGTGTAAAGGTGCGTATAGTTTACTAATTTTCAAAATGTTGATTAAGAAAAATTAGCAATTTTTTAAACAATCTCTGCGTATTATCCTTTTGAATTATAAATGTTTTTTTATTATCCTTTATGTCCTTACCTGCATTCTTTGCGAATCCCTTCCACAGATTTTCCACATCTAATTAAATCAATAGCATCTCCTATAGGTGTACGGTAATATAAATTATACGCTTCTACAATTAAACCAGTAAAAAAAATGCACTTTTTTTTTGTTAATCATTTTCAAAAATTAAATTTACCTACAATCCATTGTTCTCATAAATTTGGAAGACAATCCACCACGAATCCCAGCTAGCATATTACTTTAATCATTTATTTACTTAAACCTTTATAAAATTTTTTTTGTATTTGTTTTTCGGAGGAAAATTAAATTTTCCAAAACGATGACTTTACACACAACCAAAATTTTCACATTATTTTCTAGTATAAGGATAAAATCTTAAAATTATCCTTTTCTTTTCTTTTCAACTCAAATTTAAGCATCAATGTCAAACAGAGTAACCAAAAGAAAATTAAGGAAAAAGGGTACCCGTTTTGTTTTTTGTCAAATTTTCAGTTATTGTTTTTGTTTTTTTATGCGTTTAATACAAAAAAAAAAAATGGTTGTTCTTCTTTGATTTTTTATTACAAAATGGTAGACAAGAAAAATTTTTTTATTTTTTCTCTAAAAAAGGAAGGAAGAATAAGAATTTTTTTGTAGAGGACAAGGTTTTGTTTTCATTCTCTTCTTTTTAGGTCCACACATGAAGTACACACTTTTTTTTTTTGCTTTCTCATTTTCTGTTTTATTTTGTGTACTTTAAAATATTATGATTTTTATCTTGTTAATATTGAGGAAAAGATTTCAGTATTTTCTTTATTTAAATTGTATGGAGGCGTTGGGGGGAAATGAAAGAATGTAAGAAAATAACAATAATGGGTTCAAAATGTTGCCTTTTTTCCGAAACATATTTTTGAGGTTTTTTATAATGCCATCAGCAAACCTTCTTTCTTTTTCTATAACACAGATTTTCTCAATTGTAATTTTTTTTTTGTGTAAGTGTTATCCTTTAAGTTCATCCTTTATATTTAGGATATTAAGAATTTGGAATTCTTTATCTATGAACACAAATGAAATTAGAATTTTATTTCCTTAGAAAACATGATTAAAAATTTTTTATATTTATTTTTGTTTTTTATGCAAAAATTTAAAAAAAAAAGTTTTTATTCTTTAAAAAATATTTAAGAATTAGATTTTCGTTTTGTGCAGAAGGGAATAAGTGCGATTAAAGGGCTAAGGTGGACATGCAATTTTTTATTATGCCGGTGTTTGATTACTTATTTGTATTCCATACAGTCCGTAGGTTAAGATTCAAACACGCACACATTCAAATATATGATTGCATGCAATTAAGCAATCAAACACTTTTGTAATTTTTGACAAACAGATTGTAATTGAAGCGGGAAGTGGACAAAAGGGTTAACCTACATTTGCATCTTAACACTTTTTTTTCGCTAACAAACTGTAAAAATATCAATTTTTTTTGTTACTTAACTCCTATGTGCACTGTCAATCTCGTTTTCTTATAAGTTTTTAGCTATAAGAGTAGACGCAGTTGAAAATATAAGAAATTTATTGATGTTCTATCCGAGCAGCTCGAATTTCCTCAAAATGTTAGTTAACCCCTTTGTCCACTTACCTTTTCAATTGTTATTTAACGTCATCGACTCGAAATGACACAATAGTTTACGTAGATGACGTAGATGTGCGTGTAATGATTTTAAAAATAAAAAATTGCATATCTGCCTGAGCCCTAAGCAATTTATTTTAGCAAAAAATTATTTTTAAAAATATATTTTTTATAAAATTTGTAAATCGAGAAATAAAATCCAACTTCTTTGATGCATTTTTGAATTTGCTTGTAACTGACAAACCTCACAATTTTCATTAACAATTTTGATGATTTTAAAGGAGAAACGTAATATTTTTTCAAAAAAAATTTAGCAAAATCATATAAATTCGTCCTTAATACTTAATAATACACAAAATATTAATATAGTGCAAGAACTTAATAATTAATTTCTTATATTTGTATAACAAAAACTTAAATTTCAAATTCAATAAGCGCCTGTTCGTAAAATCATTGCGTTGTGATCTTAATTTTTTTACATACAAAAATGATTAAAATCGGTAAAATGCTTGACTTTTCATTATGTCGTGATGTTTTTTATCGGAATCGTGCCTCAAGGGTAACTCATCATAATGAAAACGATAGTTTCTATTATCATTCTGTGACTGGCGTTTATGGTTTAAGTTATCAAAAAGTGAGTAATTTTTGTCACGACGATTCAATAATGATTGTTTATAAAGATTATTCATTGTTTTTCCACCCGAACCAGATGAATTTGATGATTGACGGGTTGTTGAAAATCTAAAAAAAAAAAAAATAAAAATTTAAAGTTAAAAATTTTAAAAAAGATCTGAAATTATTTTTACTTCAATATGGTCAGATCTTAATAATTTAATTAATTAAGTGTATCAATTATTTGGAAACGAATTCTTAAATTTGTTCTTTTTATATCATAGGTATTTATAGCACCTGATAGTACAACTGAACCAAGATCATTAGGTACTGAATCGATATTATCACAAAATTCAACAACACCATCTATAGCTACAACATCTACAACACTTGTTTCAGCGACATCATCATCTTCATTATCTGGACCAAATTCACTGCCATCCACCAATAATACAATTCCAAATAATAATATGCATTCAAATAATATTATTAAATCTAATAATACTACAACTACAACTACAACTACTAATAATACTACTAATAATTCAAATATAATAAATCAATCATTAAATAATAGTGGTAGAAGAAAATCATCATCATCACTTGGTGGTGCAGTTGAAGTTAGTTCAACAATAAGTGAATTGGATGGTAATTTAAATGGAAATCTAAGAAATTCAAATAGTTCCGGTAATATTAAATCAATGGGTAGTGGTATTATTTCATCATCAAATAATAATTCAAATAGTAGCGGTAATTTAAGAAAGAATAGCTTCAGTCAAACTCATCGTAGTGATAATAGCATTAATAATAATAGCAATATTATAAATGGCTATAGTAATTCAAATTTGGGTATTAATTATAATAATAATAGTAGAGAAACATTAACAAATGGAATTATTGGTACAGGATTAAGTGATACTAATATACATTATCATAATCATTCACATTCGCATAATAGATCAATTAATCAAAAACAACAGCAACAACAACAGCAACACCATCATCATCATCAACAACAGCAGCAATTACAACAATTACAACAAGAAAATTCATATCATTCAACTTCAATAAATAATCCACATCAATATCATCATACAACAGGTATAGCAACACATCAAAATTTTAATAATACATCATCAGGGAATTCAATATCTCGGCGACCACCAGAAGGTAAAGATAATGAAGAATATCATAATATGAGAGAGAAATTACATGTACATGAACAACATGGTAATGCTAATCCAAATGCACCTTTAACATCAGCACTAGTTGTACGTAATACAAATTTAAATGTACATAAAATGAATAGTAATATAACAGGAAGTGGTATAACAAATAATATTACTTCGACAACAGCAACAACAGCATCTGTTGCAGATAGAACAACAGCAGAAATATTTCAAGCAACAAAAGAAAATGGAAAAATTAATGTTCAAGTTACAGTGCTTGTTGGTAAGTTTCATTTCATAATATTTACGTATACATTGTTGTTTATATTTAAATTTATAATACACGTTTGCATTGTATGTATACACTATTTCAACAATCAAACATAAATTCATATTACATACATTTATTCAAATAAATTTAATTTTTGTTAGTGAATTGTTCCAATAAAAATCGAATTTTTTGTGTACTCTCTCACTTTTACTTTAGTTTATAATACAAAATACAAGGTTTCATTCATAATTTTAAGTTCTTTAAATTTTTATAAAATTGAAAATTTGAATTAAATTTTAAAAATTTTTTTAGCTAAAAAATTTCCACAATCTTCTTTTATTAAATTTCATGTCAGCAATAATTTCAATTCAAAATTAATTGTGCAAAAATTTAGCTTCTCTTTGAACTTTAAAAAATATAAAGGGCCCTTATTTGAAATTCAATACCACAACATCCATGCTACAAAATTCTTTTTGCTGCATTAAAAAAAAAATTCAATATTAAAATCTCCCGCATGCTCTTCAGTTTATCATCTGCATAACGCTATGAAACCACATGAAATGGACTCTTGAAATAACATTTAAAAAATACACTAATTTTCTTCTTCGTACTTTAACAGCTTATTCTTTTATTTTCTCATTTACTCGTGTTTGTTATACACGTTTTTTCATTTTGTTTTTTCAGTAGATTCTTTTTTCCTTTTTACTCTTGTTCTAATGGAATTTTCCTTTTAATATTCATTAATGTCAATTATACTTAAATGTAATTTGTATATGTATATAGTGTGAGAATCTATTAAAATTACAAAAATAATTTTTAAATAGAAATTTTTACCATTTAAACGAGCACAAAAGGGAGAAATTATATTAATTAAAGGGCTCTAAAAGTTAATAATTAAAAGTACGTTGGGAAAAATGTTAAAGAAAAATTATTTAAATTAGAACTTAATGAAGCATAAATTTTCATTCTTGTATGCGCGAGAAATATTGAATTTATTTAACAAAATAAAAATTTCGATTTTTAATTGAAAATTACAAAATTATGAATTAAACGTAAAAGGGGTTTTTTACCACTTTTTCAATATTAAAATTCGCACAGAATGCAATTAATTTTAAAATTTAAAAAAAATTTATAATTTTCATTCATTATGGAACGGACCATGTAAAATGAACCTTATTTTCCGTACAAAGTGCTTTAACATTCATTATTGAATTTTTTACAACACAGTTTTCATTTCTTCGCCCCCGCGTCCCGTCTCCACGGTCACCCTACCCAGTACCCCTACTTCTTAATTTTACTCAATATTTTAATTTTTTTCCTATTTTTATTTTTTTAATTTAATTTTTTATTTATTATTATTATTTTTTTCTGTTTCTTTTTCATGTTCGTTTGTGATTTGTTGCATTCATACAATTTTATTCACATATTATGCATTAAACACACAAATACAAAAAACAAAAATGTGGAAAAACCATAATCCAAAAAAATTCTAAAATAAAGATACTCATAATTTAGACAATACAATTAATCAACCGGGTGCAACATTGGCAAATTTAAAGAAACAACGTTCACAATCTCGTACAACAGCATTAGCAGAAAATGGTACAGCAATTGGTTTTGGATCACAACAACAACAACAATTAATGCCATCATCTCAACAACAGCAGGCACAATCATTACATAATTATAATAATTTAAACACAACAACAACAACAGCGAATAATCAAAATCAATATCATCAAAATACAACAATGTTAAATGGCCTACAAAATTCAACAAATGAATTTTTATTAACATCATCAAAATTAGATAGTACAACAGCACAAGGAACAATAACATCATCAACAAATAACAGTATCATTAATAATAATTCATCAAATGCATCATTAATAAATTCAACACCAGCAACATCACCAATTGATTTAAATCAAATAACTTTACAACAACAACAACAACCAATTTTATCACCAACATTACAACAAAATAATGTTACAAAATATAGTGGTATTACTGGTGATGTTGTCAGTGATAGCACTAATTCGAAAAAATGTTGTATACTTATGTAGGTGTTAACCTTTTCCATTATTAGTTATATTATATTAATTTGTATATCAGTTATATATGTTATATTTCATATGTGTTATTTTTTAGAAAAATGTTCAATATCAGAAAAAAAATAAAATAATTATATGTATTACATGTATATATGTATATGACATTTGTGATTTACTCTTACTTGTATGAATGTTTAAAAATAATTTTTATGTTCTATATTTTAATTGTAATATTGTGATATAAACGTTAATGTTTTTAAATAATATGACCAAACAAATGCCTAATGCTTATAATATATTTAATTGACATAACGGGGGTTTTCGTTTATTCAGTTCTAGCAAAGTTCTAGCTTGTAGTACATTCGAAAATTCACGCTACATACACTGAAAATATAGATCGTTCGGAAATTACTGGCTGCAAATAAAGTGCGTTTGGAAATTCAATCTGTTATAAAGAAATGTTTGAAATGTAGCGCAGACCTCTAGTATAAATTTTGTCGCTGCCTCATGAATTTTTTTTTTAAATTTAAAATTCAAAAAAATAATTTTAATTTCAAAATGGCAGATTCAGATATTGCCGAGTTATTAAAATAAGTTTTCTTTAAGTCTTCAAATCTTGTTGAAATTTCCTTATTTTGCAGTGAATTGGAAGGGGAAAAGTATTTTGATACAATTTCATAAACAATGTCATTTCTGTTATTTTCGAACGACTGTTTAGTAGTTTCAGAATTTGTAGACTGCGTAAACAACCAAAACTTAGCTAAAGTTTTTGCATACTGTTTAACGCTGCGATTTAGAAAATTTTAGTTCTAATGTAGAACTTTAAGCGCACCGTGCATAAACGAAAACCCCCAACAATTAATAATGTATATATATATAAATATTAATTCTCTAAACGACATTTATGATTTCTATTTAGTTTTTATCTCTGAAAACTTTTTAACTCGAAATCATTAAACGAACGAAAATGACGACAAATTATTTGTACTTCAAAAAAATAACTATAACTTTAATAAAAGATAGTTATTGATGTTTAACCTACTTATCTACTTATCTACCTATCTAGCAAATAACAATACTAAAAATAACTAAAAATGTTCAAGTAGAAGAATGCCTGCTTTCTGAATTAAAATTTAGAAATAAAAATAGGGAGTGGAAATTTCAACACAAACTCAAAATATTTTACAATTTGTCTTGAATTAAGCAAATTTCAATATTATATTTGCAATTTTCAAGCCTAACAGTAGATTTCAACCTAAAAGCAAAGGGTCTTTTACTCCAAAATATGTTTAAGAACAATCCATCATCGTAGTATTGATCAACTACTAAGGCAACATATTGGACTATTCGTTTAAGCACATCTTCAATTTAAATAACCTTTATTTTAATTTTTTAATCTAAGAAATTCATTCGATCACAATATTACAATTAAAATTTATCGTAATTTTTTGTTCAAATAAATGGAAAAGGTTAACACTAAAAAACGATTACTTTTAATTTTCTTATATAAAAATTTTGATTTTCATTTTAAATGTACTTAAAAAAAAAAAACAATTAAAAAATTGTCCATTAATATTGAAAACAATTTAAAAAACAATATTAAATAAAAATTATGAGAAAAAAAATAAATATAAAAATTTTTTTCTAAAATCTACAAAATAATTGTAATTACACCTTTAAAAAAAATTTGTGTTCGATTTCTTAAGAAATTTTTATATTCTGATTGCATTAAAAAATTATACAAAATTTCAGAAATATCATAAATTATTTTATTAATAACTAAAAAAAAAATTTTGTTTAAATTAAAAATGCAATCATAATTTATAAATTTTGAAATCATATAGATAGTATATAGATACATATATATATAGCAATAACGGTAAGTAAATTAATGTTAACACTATTGTGATTAAGAATACGCAATAGAAATTAATTAATTTGTAAAACATATAGTTATAATTGCGAGATTTATGAAATTAAGTAACGACTAAAATTATTTTAGTATAAAGAATTTAATAAACAAATTGTCAATATTACATACGAAGTCTTTAAGGAAAAAAAAACATAACAAACATATCTGTTTCATTATATAGGCGACTTTTATACAAAATTCCAATTTTTTGTAAAGTTACTAAATTAAAATTTCTAAAAATTTTGCTTTAATTTGTTATAATTTAAATTGTTTAAAATTTTTTATTTTAATATGTGATAATTTATTTTTTGTAACTTCAATACAGTGATTACTGAGAATATTTAGTAAACAATGATTTTACAGAGTGTATAAAAAATATAGTGTGCGATGCTTTTTTTCCACATTTTAATTCTCTTATTAAAATTACAGATTTTGCAACTTTTCATTAGCTTACTGTAAAGATTTATTTTAGAAAGAGAGACAGCAACTCCAACACGAACAGTTTTTTTTCAAAAAAATTCAAGAAAATTGGCCTAGACAATGTTCTTATTTCTTCTTAAAGCGCTTTGTAAGGGCCCAGATTCCAAATCGAATTTTACAATTGAAACTTTTTAAGAGTTCAGAAAAATCGTATTAAACTTAATTTTTGAAGTTTCTATCCATTCAAGTTTACGTAAAATAATTTAAAAAAATAAAGTACAAAATAACTATGATCAATTGCTATGAAAAATTTAGTTTAGAAAATTAAAACAATAAAAATATTTAATATAGCGCGTATAACCATATAGCGCGGTCAACACGAAAATTTGCCTGTTCTTTCAAAGAAAATAAATTTAGTACTAAGAATTTATTTACAATTCATTAATCAACATACACTCTGTTTTCATATTTACTTAGAGCATATTTTGAATCAAAATTATTATAAAATGTTCAATTCAGCTATAGCAGAAAAATTGCTTTTAGATATTTAGATTTTGTATAGGCTAAATTTTTTTATGAATTCATTTAAAAGCAAATAAAGTAAAAAAGTTGTTCTAAAAATTTAATAAGTAATAAATAAATGATAGCATGTTTTTGAAAAATTTAGTACTAATCTGAAAATTTTAAGTAAAAACAAAAAAATTCTTATTGAGCAACAAACTGAAGTGAGTGGCTGTATTGTTTAAAGTTAGAAAAGTTCTGAATTTAAAAATTAATTCAATTAAATAAAAATTTTACACCATAATAATTTTCCAATATCACCGTTATCCATCGTTGTCAATTTTTCCATATCACTTACATGACCAAATGGCAACACTTGATTTTCGAAAATATGTATTTCCTTGACATTTCTTATTAATACCCTTACATTCTTAAATATTAAATAATTTAAATAAAGAAATAATAATTTCTTTATTTCTTATTACTTATTGCATTTACGTTAAGTACTTACTACTAGAAAAGTCAGAATTAATTTTTCAAAAACAAGCTTTACCTATGCATAATATTATTTTACTTAATAAATAAATAGCAACATGTAAAATAATATTATTTTGATGTCTGTAAAACTGTACGTGCAAAATAAAGTAATTTTACTGTTAATTTACATATATATATGTATACAAAAAGAATACCGAAAATATTCATCAAAAAATAAGTAAATAAAATTTTCTATTTAGGTATTATAAAATATTATTAGATTATAAAAAATTAAAATTTAAAATTATAGCATATTAAATAAATTAATTAAAAAACACAAAAACAAAAAATTAAAAAAATTAATAAATAACAAGAATAAAACTTGAACGGCTGTGTAATTTATAAATTAAATTAAAAAAAAAAACAAAACAAATATTAAAATTATTTATAAATATAAAAGTTTTTTTTTTCTATAATATTAAAAAACAAATTATATAATTGAATTGAAAAATTTAAAAATAAAACTATGAAAGTAATTGCAATTTCAAATATTTTAAAAAGAATTAATTATTATTTTCAATCCATCACTCTCACAATATTAATTAATTAATTATGATTGCCCTTAAATAATTAAAACAAGACCTTAGAAACTAAACAAACAATTTTGTATTAAAAGGAATTTAGATTTTCTTTTCAATTGAATTTTCATCTATGTATTTTAAAATTTAAGTATAAGGAGCAATACAAAATAAAAATTCAAAAATTTGAATAAAAAAATTAATAAAATTTACAAAAGCACATACACATACAATTACATATATAATGATTACGTCATAATAACAGAAAAATCTTTGTAATTTTTATAAAATTCACACACAATTAAAAACAAAAAAAAAATTAATTTGTTCTGTATACTCTTGATAAAGAAAAAAATTTTCTAAATAAAATAAAATCACAAAAAAAAAAAAATTTAAAAATTAAAATTTCAAAAATTCCATACTAAATATTAAAAAAAATCAAAAAATTCTTATTACTATAAGCATTAAAATTTTACTTGGTATATATACTTAAAATACTATTAAATATTATTAGTTAAATTACGTATACATACTTATATAAAACATAATAAATACATATTTCATTAAACACTTAAAAAATTACAAAAAAAAAACGCAAATCAAAAATTCAAAACAACAATGTTTTTTTTTTGTTCTAAATTCTTTACTACATTTATAATAACTACATAAACAACTGTTGTAATATTATTTACATTATCAAAGGAAATTATAAATATTATTAATAGTAAATAAAAATAGTAAATTACTAATATTAATAGTTATATAAAAATTTTGTAAATAAAGAAAATTTATTATCCAAAAAAAAAATATAAAAAAAAAATATAAAAAAACAAAAGCTAAAATCGTTAATATTCATGATTTAAATATATATATATATACATATATAAATTACATTATTATATAAAAAAAAGGAATATAAAATCAGAAAAAAAATAATTAAAAAAAATAATAAAAATTGTTATATAATAAAAAAAAAAACAATATTTTTACTTTTAAAATTTTTAATCTAATTGGTTGAACTAATTGAAATGGAGCAGAAGTTCGTATTACCCGCAAGCCCAGATCGATAAAATCTCTGAAAAAAGATATATTCAAACAATATGACAGACACTACAGGGGACTCGGTATCAACTTTTGGAAAAAATTAATATATTTACACTTTGCGTCTAAAGCTATCAAATATTTGCTAAAAGTCAACTAGAAAACGATAGAAAAGAATAATAAAAATATTGAAGTATATTTGTTTCTTTATCCTACTACTATGAATATATGAATCAAAGCAATGGTTTAGAATAGATTAGATTAGATTGCAGATTGGCAGAGATCAACCTCAGATCAGGTCACTGCAGCTCCAAAGACTTATTGTAAAATCCCGCCACCTATAAAGCGGCATTCAGGCCTATAATTCTGAGGCCTATCCGCCCAAGTGAACCAATCACTTCCTAGCAAGTGCTTCGCAAAAGCAAATAATATTCTGAGTTGTCTCATCATGGTAAAATCTGCCCAAACGGTCCCCAGGTTGTTCCAGTTTGTGCAAGTGATAGTCAAGCCTGCAGTGAGGAGGGCGACTTTTGTTTGCCGCAAAACTCGTGGGAACAGAATGCAGAATAAAACAACAAATGTGAAAAAAATTAAGCAAATAGCTTAATTCCGCATGAAAATATTTAAAAAAAAAATGCTTTTCTAACGAAAAAATTCTAATGAAGTGAACTTTATATTAATACAAAGATTATTCTTAGTCCAAGATTAAGAATAAAAATTTAGAAAAAAGAAGGTTAAGCATTAATGGGCATTTAATTTGTAATGTTTGCTTTTAGTTTTTTTCTAGGTTTGTAATATTTAAAAGATATTTGCAGTTTTGACACAATAAATTATCATCAAAGGCATTTAAACGAACTAAACATCCCTATAGTTTTGAGGGTGGGAAGTCAAAATCTTATTGCAATGTAATAGGTTTCTAAACAATATTTAGGCACTTTCTCATACAGAATGTCATTTGCACACAATTTGCAATGGTTATGATACCCAATTCTTTTTGACTCTTATATGATTAATGCATTTGTTCATATGTTACTGCACTTTGAAAAAATTAATGGTAAAAATAACTAATTTTGATATGGAAAAGGAAAACAGATAAGAAAAGGAGAGATTTTCATTTATCAGCTATAAAACATCAGATGACAAGAATTGCTTTATTTGTATATGACTGTCATTTGCAAATGAAAGAGATTAATATGACAAGCAACATGATTGACACGTGAATTTCAGATGGATGATGTTCTGGGAAGGTATCTTAAAGGTAGCTTTATATGCAAATGGAATATTGATGAGCATATTTTTTCAAATAATCAAAATGTTAAAGATAAATATGTGCGTGCATGTAAGTATTTCTTAATACATAATTAATTGCTTTTATGCTTAACTTTATAAATTTCAAAAATTTTTAAAATTCTTTATAGAAAAGTACTTTTAATGCCTCAAAAAAAACAAACAACATAAATTGAGAAAAAAAAACTAGATCATTTTTCTATGGTAATCAAAAGATTAACAAATACTTCAGCTTATTACGTACAAGGACAATTAATTTTCTCATAATTATTTTTAAATAGTCAGTCGTTTATTTTATTAATAAAAATAAAAAATTAATAAACGTTACATCACTACCTTGAAAAAAAAATTTTTTTTTTGTTTCCCTTGACGAAATAAAAATATTGAAAATTCCGTTGT